AGACCCTCCCGCTGCCTGTGCCCGCGGCCCCGGGGTGTGGTGCTGGAAGGAGGTGGTGAGGTGGAGACCAGCCAGAGGCCAGAGCAAGGAGCCGAGACTAAGACAGGAAATCTGGCTTCTCTCTCAGTTCCAGGACTTAACTTGTCAGATGGTCTTAAGGAAGTGACTTCACTCCTCTGTGCTCATTCGCTCATCCTTAAAATGCAGCCTCAGCTTGTGTCCTTAGGCCGTGCAAGTTCTACACGATGACACATGCGCAAACATTCTGTCCTGTGCAACGTAAACATTTGAGGTCCTCTGGCACTTTCTGCTGCTAACCGGTGACTGCAGCTGTTCCTGCCTGGGGGCTTCACTGTGGGTTAGGCCGCTGCTTTCCCTGGGGCTCCGCCCTGCTCCCTGAAGTGGGGCAGCTTCGCAGGGACCCAGGCCTCCACGTTTGCACCCCTTCCTGGTCGCCTGCGTCTCCACCCGACTCTCCTAGTCCTGCTGTTGACCCAGATCAGGGTTCTACTCCGGCACCCTTTAACCCTGACACAGCTCCCACACGTGAAGGGGCTGAGCCTCCTCCCCTGACAGGTTTCGGTAGCAGGTTAGAAACTGCCCGCAGGCACTTCTGGCCTTGTTTTCCTCAGACGCTAGTGTGGGCCCTCTCCATCCCCGGCAATTCCACCATCTGCTCAGATTAAGGGTGAAAGGGCAGCGAGCATCCGGACCTCAACTCCTCTCCACACCGCTAGAGCCCAGCCAACAGCGTCCTCCAGTGGGCGGCAGGGGTTGCCTCAGGAGAGCAGAGTCCTGGAGGTCTGAAGACCACTGCGGAGGGCAGCCCCTGAGCCTGGCACCCACAGTCCAATGCGTAGGGCTCCTTTGCGGGAAGGGCACTTGGTGGGAGTTCAGGAACCTGGGTTCCAGTTTCAGCACTGGCTGGTCATGTGACCTTGGACGGGTCCCCTTTCTTCTCTGGTTCTCGGTTTCCTCTTTGGTAAAAAAGAGGGTCAGGCACAGGGCTGAAACTGATGCCCTGCTGGCAAACAGAAGTGTGCACGGTTGGTTTGGGGCTGAACACCTTAAAGTGAGGCCGGCATTTCCCATGAGAAGAATTTCCTGCCACTTCCACCATGGAAGGCATCTGTGTTTGTGTTCTTTGCTGCTCCCCAGTCCTGGCACTTGGGAAAGGAGCTAGGAGCCTCTGGCCTTTCTGGCACCATTATTTAAGAGAGGCAGAAAATGCCACTGGCCACCAACAGGAAGCGCTAAGTACAGAACCAGATCTGGCAGGTTATCTCACCTCTGGAGGCCAACCTTAACCCAAGATGCAGTGAAGAGTCACTGCGTTTCCCAAGGGTGGTGGTCCTCTTGGTGACAGAAATCCTTAAACCTTTTCCCTGCACTTACTAGCAGACTGGGCTGGCTTCAAGGGGCCTGCTCAGAAGGGTCAGCACTGAGAAAGGGCCCGTGCTTGGTTTAATGCCATTACCATCTTAAAATTCTTCATACTTTTTTTTCTTTTTTTTTTTTTTCCGCTGCCAATTTCGGGATGCAGGATCTTAGTTCCTCGACCAGGGATCAAACCCGTGCCCCCTGGATTGGGAACGTGAAGTCTTAACCACTGGACCACCAGGGTAGTCCCTCCTAATACAGTTTGAACTAGGGGCCCTCAGGTTCATTTTGTACTGGACCTGCAAAGTATTATATGAACACCCACTTTGAAACTTTCACCAGTCTCTCCATTAGGGTACTGGTTCCCAAGGCAGGACTCTGATCTCCAGAGGAAGGACATCCTGAAGGACTCTTCTAGTCCCTCAAGATGAGCTGAGACGGCATACAAGCCCACAAATTCTCCTCCAACCTCCCCAAGTGGGTGGTCTCCTGTTTCCCACTTCAGCTGTCTCTCTCACAAGGCACCCACCTCTTTCTGTAACCCATCCCAGACTCCTCATCCCCGGGCTGTGCCCTCTGTACTCTGACTTCCTCAAAACAGAGGATGCTCGATAAACGTCTGTTGACTGAGGAAAGCAAACAGAGCTATCTTCTCAGAACAGGGTGCAGGGCAGTGCACACAGTGGGTGCTCAATCAATGCTGCTGACTCATGCACAGAGCAGGCTGGGGCACTGCACCACATGGCCGTGCCTGTCCTCAGTCAAGGCATCACGTGGACCATCATTCTCTCCCCTTCCGACCTGGTGAGGAAGGAAGGACAGGCCAGGGTTTCCTGGTGCGGAGGTGGAAGGACTATTCCCTGGGGACCCCTGGGGTCCCAGTGCCAAAATGCCCTGCAGGAAATGGTATTAAGAACCCCCGACACTTGCAAAGCCCTTTAAAGTTTAAAACCCGCTTTCATTAACTTTCTCCTCAAACTGTCTTGCAAGTCAAGGTGAATACTCCAAATACCAACTGTGGGTTGTTGTTCTAACATTTTTTCTTTCACTGAATATATTCCTGGAGGAAAAATTAGGAAATGCAGTTAAAGCCCAGAGAACAAGGACACCTCAAATCCTAGGGCCTAGAGATGACACTGTTAACATTTTAGTCCATATCTCATGAGATTTATCTCCGTACGTAATATATACCTTTCAAAACAGGATAACACTGTCACTGCTTTGTAATCTTACTATTCCCAGTTTTACAGGAGGCTAACAGAGGTCGCAGGTCATACAGCTGCTAGGGGTAGTGCTGGGGCCTGACTCTGGTGTCCTGACTCTGATGCTGGTGTCTGTATCCCTGAACCCGGCTGCTACTCAGACTCCACAGGGGCCGGAGGGGCTGATGGCCATGGGAACGGAGCCCCAGTCAAGAAGGGTTTGCTCGGACTGGGCTTCAGGGAAAACACCCCGAAACTGCCTGGGTGTCCCCCAGCTCAGCACGGGCGGGGCCGGGCCAGGCCCGGTGGCTCAGAGTTCCCACCTCTGCAAATCTGGATTTTGCCTGGCAGTAAACAGTCACAGGGATACGGGGTCAGCTGTCAGGCAGGGGCCCAGAGGGAGCAGGTGTCAGGTGGCAGGATCGGGCCACACAGCAGTGACCCTAGAGAGCAACTGGATATCTGTTGGTGGCCTTGGAGGGCTTGTCTGTTTGTATTTTTAGAAAAAGTGAGGGCACAGCAGTGACCCAGCAACTGCCTCGCTGCCTGGGCAACACGCTGGGCAGTGGAAAGGGGCTTCCAGCCTGAGTCCAGGCTGGTGGCTAAGGGCAGGACCGGCCGCCTCCCTTCCTTCTTTCCCTCCCCCCTCCCTCCCTCCTTCCTGAGCTCACACTACTAGCCAAATACTGAGTTAGGCACTAGAGGAAAGATTTCCTCAGGGCCCTGGCCTTCCACGAAGGTGGCAAAAGAACGAGAGCTGACCAGAGGCTTACAGAACAATAGTGGTCAAGAGCCAGAGCTCTGGCCCCAGACAGACCCAGGTTCAAATCTTGACTCCCCTGTCTCTAGCTGTGTGACCTCAGGCAAGTTGCTTAATCTCTCTGAACCTGCATTTCCCCTCTTAAGGTCTATGAGAAGCAAATGAGATAGTGCATAAACACACTTAGAAGAAGGCCTGGAACCTGGTAAGGGCTGGATAAACGCAGCTATGGAAAGAGAGGCTGTACCTTTGGAAGCATTCTGGAGCTCGGGCTGCCCAGCAGGGTCAGCATCACGGCTGGATCATTCCAGAGGATGCCGTGGGGCTTGGCTGAGAACGGGCCTGGGGCTTTCAGGGTCTGGCAGCCTGGCAGCGGCTCAGCCCTTCCACCACACGCTAGCCCCTCACAGTGAAGGAGGGGCCGGCATCCTCCTTTTTTGCCAAAGAGGAGGCTGGGAAGCAATGGGGTTGTGGGAGCTGCCCGAGGTCACCAGGGAAAGAAATGGCAGCCGGCTCCCACCCATCTGCTGACCCTGGCCCACGACACCAGAGCTGCCTCTCAGGGTGCAGGAGTTGGGGCTGGACGAGGGGTCTGCTGGGCCTGGCGGGAGAGTGGGTGACTCCTGGGGCTGCGGCGGGGGCGGCAGCAATCCTGGCAGGCAGGCTCTGGGCCGAGAGGGCATCTGACTCAGGGCTGGCCGACCCTGAGGGCTGTTTGCACCTGGCTTTGCTATCTGGGACCCAGTGCCCTGGGGACGCCTCACCGTCTTGATCCCACCCGCCCGGAGCTGCAGCTGGGCTTCTTCCGGTGAGAACAACAGCATACCCCATCCTCTCTGCCTGCCTGTCTATGCCCGGCCCCTGGCAGCGCCGACCCCAGGGACAACGGACACACATGGACACACACATGCACACATGTGCAAACGCGCTGAGGCTGTGATGCGGCACGGAGGGCCGCGTCAGGAGTGGACGCACCTATGGAAGACAGGCCCTTTCCTGCACCCACAGAGGGCTCCGTGTAAGAGGTCCAGCCAGGGAGCACAGCTCACAGTGGTCCTCCCTCCTCAGCCCCTGGTGAATGAATACAGGGGTGCCAGAGCCATCGTTGGCTCGTCAGGCTAGGTGCCGGGCTCTGGGATACAGCCATGAGCAAGACGGATAAAGTCCTTGTTTCCGTAAAGCTTATCTACTGGGGTGGAACTGAAAAGGTCTTTTTATCTCCCTTATGCTTCCCCCTTTATGCACTTGATGCTCTACTAATCCTTGTCATTTTAGGGGATTAGGCGAACAGGGGTGTCGGGAAGGTGGCGATCTCGTGGTATCCTCGCTGCCCAGCACATGCTAGGAGCAGAGAACACATAGGATGTTGGCAGGTCTGCGCACGGCTGGGTGGGGTGGGAAATTCACCACCTTCCCTTTTCCCATCTCCGTGACAGATGTGCTCTCCCGATGAGGTGTGCTCCCCTGGACTGAAGCCAGGGACTGTCGGCACAATGCTCACTGCTTCTCATTCTAATTGCCCGAGGTTTCAAGGAAGTAACGCTCGCCTTTTGCAAACACATCCTCTCGTGGGAACATACAAAACTCACACGCACCGTCGCGTGGAATGTTGATATTTTGCTTTACGATGAATTGTTCCGAGAGTCGTTTTCACTTACCCGTGTGTAGGCTTCCTATCTGGACACAGGTTCCGCCGCAAAATCTAAGGTTCTACAAAACCAAGGAAGGCTCAGTAAATGTTTGAGTGAAGACATGAAGAGGGTCTAAGGATAAACGTGTCAGGACCTGTAAACAGGCACGCGGTGGGCATGACCCGGCACTGGGGACGGGAGCTGCTGGCTTGTGCGGCTGGGGCCAAACGAATAAATTGGTTTTATTCGCCATTCAGTGGGGAGGTCTGGAGAGATACCCTCAGGGTCCACCTCTGAGGGGTTTCAGGACCTACGCTTCCAGGGACTAAAGACTGTAGTGGAACTTCCCTGGTGGTCCAGTGGTTAAGACTCTGTGCTTCCACTGCGGGGGGTTCGGGTTTGATCCCTGGTTGGGGAACTAAGATCCTATATACTGTGTGGCACGGCCAGAAAAAAAAAAAAAAAAACACAGGCTCCAGAGCCTGCCTGGGTTCAAATCCCAACTCTACTTTCAACAGCTGGGTGATCCCAGGCAAAAGTACTGAACTGTTCTAAGCCTTGACCTTCTCATCTGTAAAACAGGTGTTGTTAAAAGAACTCAGTGACAGCTGATGGAAGTGTCTAGCACGGAGCTTAGAAGATGGTAAGCATGTGAGGCGTTGGTGACGAGCTCAGTGTGGCAGTGCAGTGTAGACCAATGGCCCTCACACTTGAGGTGCATCAGACTCCCCTGAAGGCTTGTTAAAACACAGAGGGCTGGGTACCACCCCGAGTTTCTGATTCAGCAGGTCTAGGGTAGAATCTGAGAAGCTGCATGTCCAACAAGTTCCCAGGTGATGCTGCAGTTGCTGCTTTAGGACCATACTTTGAGAACCACTGGTCTAGAGAAGGGAGAACTCAGGTGTAGGACTTGGGAGCTGGGACCATCCCGCAGTGTCTGGTGACTTTGGGCAGTTAATCTCTTTGAGCCTCAATGTCTTTGCTTGTAAAATGGGACTCTTAATATCCACCTCACAGGAATTCCCTGGCGGTCCAGCGGTTAGGACTCTGGGCTTTCACTGCTGAGGGCCCGGGTTCAATTCCTGGTTGGGGAACTAAGATCCTGCAAGTTTCTCAGTGTGGCCCAAAAAAACCCCAAATAAACAAAAAAACCAACTTCATGGGGTCATGCCTGGCATACGGCATTCTCAGTATTTAGTTATTATTGCTTGAATTTTGGCTCCGTTTTTTGGCCCTTGAAGGATGGGTAGGATCACCATGAGCAGAGATGGGTCAGGCGGGCCTGCAGGACGCTGCTGAGAACCCCAAAGCCCAGAGCAAAGTGCCGGATGGATCTGGAAGCCCCAGAGCAATGTGCTAATTCGGAAAGAACTCGTTTTCCAATTCTATGGAAGTTTCTATGTGGCAAATCCACAATTAACTTTGGACCCTGACCCAGATGGCTGACAAGGTAACCTAAGAAAAAGGAAGTAGACCCACGGGGTTCCTATCACAGGCTCCGCGCCTTCCCGACCCTGCCTGCCCACTCTGCTCCCGCGTGTCCACGGCCCCCTTTTGTCAGAGAGAAAGCCTGTCACCTCTGGACTCACAGGGGGATCAAAATCCCTGGGGCCCCTGGCCAGGCCGGGCTGCCCCAGGGCCCACGCAACCGTGTGCACCTGGGACAGGGCTGGCGCCTTGCAAGACTGCACCCAGGGCGCAGAGGAGATTTCTGGGCCAGTTTGGTGTCATGACGGGAACAGCACGCAGACACCCCATCTGCGGTGGATCAGAGCCTGTCGATGTTTAAGGGCGAGACCCATTGCTCTTGGCACGGGAACACTGCAGGCCGAGTGCCTCAGGGGTCCGGGCCTTGGCAGGCTTTGGCCTGAAGACCAGTGACAGCAGCCGGCCTGAGTCACTGGTTCCGAGGCAGGATACCCGGGGAAAAAGGGCTCTCCCTGGACCAGGGGCACAGATTCACTGTCCAAACAGCACGCTCCTCACCCAGCAGTCCTTGGGCCTGAAATCCCACCCTCAGAGATCCATTGTTTGGTCTTTTTCAAAATAACTCTTTGAAGTAACTCTTTCATATAAAAAATTCAATGCTGTGCTCGTTTACTGGGCATTCAACGTGGGCAAATCACTGAGCCTGGCACCGTGGAGACCCAGGAATACGGAAGACGGATTCCCCACAGGAAAGCAGGTGGCTGGAGGGGCCACCTGGAGGGCTCCGAACACAGCCCAGGGTCTAGAAGGGAGGGCCGGCCTCCCAGGGGGCACGGGGAAGAAAGGCCTTTAGTCCTGGAGGGGGCAGGAGCAGGTGGAAGGCTGGGGCTTCAGGGAACAGTGAGTCATGCGGTACGGCCCCGTAAGGAGGGTGAGCCCTCAGCCCCTCCAGGGAGGGCAGAGGAGCAGGACACCAGCTGGAGACGCAGGTGGAAGCCAGCTGGGGGGGTCTGCACAGCAGGGACCGTGGGGACCCAGCGTAGGTGGGCTTGTCTGAGAACTTCCCTCCCTGGGAGATGGGCCTGCAGCAGCTTGAAGGGGAGCGTCCCCCAGGTGACAGGCGAGGAGACAGGTTCCCGGATGGGTAGAGAAGGGTTTCAAAGACCAGGGGTGCTGCTGAGAAGACAAACCTTCGGAATGTGGGCTGGGTCGGGCTGAGTCAGCACCTAGTACTTAAATGCCTCTAGGCCCACAGGTGGGAGTGTGGTCCTGCGTAGGAGAGTTTTCTCTCTCACCTCATCCTTGTTCTAAGGTTTCACAGCTTTCACAGCACATTCACCCACATCACCTCGCTGATCTTTTTAACAGCACTTTGGGCTAAACAGGGCATATTATTCCCATCTCACACATGGAGAAGCTAAGGCCTAGGTGAGCTGAAGTTATAAATTCTGCTTTATAGGAACCACTGGCCTTTTGGGGTGCATATTTGTTTCTGTTTTATTTATTTATTATTTATTTACTATTTATTTTTAGATAGTTCAAACATTTACATGAGTCAAAATTCAAAATGTCCGGATGAAAGCTTCTCTGTGAACCCTATTCTTCCAGCTGCCCGGGTCACCTCTTACCAGTTTGAACTCAAGCCTTTTGACTATGGGTGTAGGGCCCTTTCTGCCGCAGTGGGGCAGGGGCTCAGGACACAGCCTCCCCGTAGATTCAGGAAAGCCCAACGTAAGTGCCACCCCAGGAGGGGTGTCATACCTCCTCTGACAAGTGTCCATTTGGTCTTCTTTCATCTGAGGCCACATAAGTCTATCTTTAGAGCGTAAACTCCTTGAAGGCAGGGAGTCTATCTTCAACTTCTGGGAGGTCATAGAGTAGGGGTTAAAATTAGAGGCTCTGGCATATAGAGAACAGGGATAAAAACTGTGCTGTGGGACAAGTTACTTAGGCTCTCTGAGGCTCTGTTTTTTCAGCTACGATAAGGATGCCCTCACCAACTTCACGGGGCTGTGTGGGGACTGGATAAGATGACTTACGTCCCGTGTTTAGCTGTGTGTCAGGCACAAGGTCTGTAATCTGTAACTGGGAACTGCCGTCGTTCCCAGTGTTCTGGGGCCCGTGTGTGTCTGCAGCATGACAGACCCGGGCACCCTTTCACACTTAATCCTGACAGAGAATCAGGGATCTCAGGCAAATCGGCACAGTAGGTCCCTCAAATCCATGTATCTGAACCAATCGCTCACTCTTCCTGGGCTGGGATCTGCCCTTCCCGTTTGTGAAACCAGCCCTCCAAAGGCCGGCTCTTCACTGTCTCCTTTCAGGTGGTTTTTCTGGGGAGTCGGGCATTTTGACAGAGGGCCTGACAGCCCACGGCTCCTCTGGGCCTATTTTGTCTAATGCCCTGAGTCTGAGCTGATACACGGGGAAGCTGCCATATGGCTTTTCTCAGGGCTGACAGGAATGACTCACTGGAGGGTCACCCCTGCCCTGGAGCTGCCGAGGGCAAGTGACTCATGGCCTCTGCCTCTCGGAAGCCATGTCCTCGGCCCCTGAGACTACAGGCAGAGGAGGGGGCTTCCCCGCTCCTAGATCGCTCTGGGCTGGAAGGGAGCCAAGAAATCATTTATCCCACCTCCCTCATCTTGCAGATAAGAAAGGGAACCTGGTGGTGGGAACAGGCACACAGCCAGCTGGTTGCAGGAGTAGGATTTGTACCTGCCGTGACTTCTGTCGTTCCCTCTGGGCTGCGGCAGATCCCCACCCCTGGGCCTTCCAACCACAGCGCCCTCACTCCTGCCTCGGGCTCCAGGTCCTAAACACTCTGAGCAGTGGATCCCATGGCTTTTTGGTAGGACAGTTACTTACCCCTTTGGAAGAACATCCCTGGAATCTTGTTTCCAAGAAAGGGCAGAATGATCTGTTGGAGCTGGTGTTCCCACGGACCTTAGGGTCAATAAACAATATAAAATTGTGTTTACTTTTCTCTTAAAAGAGGCATTCCTTTCCCATCCAACTCAAGTTTTGTCAAGAAACAAAAATATAGGCCAGCAAGGATTAAGGGATAAATAATTGTCTGGCAGAACAATGGAGCAATCCATGACTTCAAGGGATGGAATCCACACCAGCCTTGGGAGCTGGGACTTGGCAAGCAAGCCAGAGCCCGGAAACAGGGAAGTCTGAGCGGGACGGAGGGCAGGGCGAGGAAAAGGGAGGGAAACGGCTGTGCTGGGGCAGGGCCAGGCGGGGGGCGACTCGGGGGACCCGGGGAGGGGTCTGTGGTGTCATCCCACCCCATCTCCAAACCCAGGTGCTCTTGCCGCCCAGAACCCCGGAGCCCGGACTTCCTATCAGCAGGGCCCTGCCTAGGCGCTCAGCTGCCGCGGGTGGGCAGGTTGAGGGGCGCGCGCATCTCCAGCAGGGGCTCGTCTCAGGCTTGGCGCCCCGCTCTCCTGGAGGAACAGTGCAGGGCGGGGGTGGGGGCCTGAGACGTAGACACAGAGGGTCAGGGGTCACGGCAAGACGCACTTCAGACGGGAAGAGTACGAGGCTCGGAGTTCTCTTTGCTTTGGGGAGGAGCCCGCTCACTCGGCCTCCAGAAAGGGATCTCCCCGGTTTGTGGATGTGGAAACTGAGGCCCAAACTGGGAGGCCCAGAGCCGGGGGTCCCGGCCGCCAGCCCCCGGCCCACGCCCGGAGGAGTCAGACGACGACAGGGGTCTGGGGAGGCCCGCGCGCTCCGCAGACCCCCGGGCGCAAGGGGCGGACCCCGCGGAGCCGCCGGTAGTCCCGGGTGGGAAGGGGCGGGGTGGGGAGGGCGCGGGCGGAGGAACTGAAGCGACTCAGGCCTGTTCTCAGGCCGGGCCTTTGTTCCCGGGACGCCGACCTTAAAGGGCCAGCGCCCGAGGCAGAAGCGCGCCCGGCGGCCTCCCCCCGCCCCCACTCCCACTCCTCCTGGGGTCGCTCCTGGGCTCCGGGCTGTCGGCAGAAAGTGGGGCGTCCTGCAGGATTCAGGGGTTCATCCAATCGAATCCTCAGGCCATAAGGGAGGGCCCTCAGGTCATTTCAATCATCCCTCTGCCTCAGGGCAGGGCTGCACCTAAAGTGGCTCAGGGGGATTAAGAAAACCCTTTTCCTGCTTTTTAAAGATACTGCCACGGGGCGACCCCTTTCTAGGCAGCGTCTCCCAGGGTCTCCCAGCCATCTGTCTTCTAACCAAGTCCCCACCCTGCAGGGTGACCCACCCACGCAGGCCCGAATATCAGGACTGGATCATTTGCACCCTCATTTGACACGCTTGGTGGGTTTTAGGCCGGCCTGGGCAGACCTGTGAACAGGCTCCCGTCCCGGGCCTCCACGGGGTCCAGGTTTCACACCAGTCCTGTCCTGTCCGAGGATCCCTCGCCACTCCACCCCCCAACGCCGCGCTGCTGGTACCAAAGTTGCTCCTCCGGGCCCTGAGCGCCACCACGCGGACACGGGAGAACGGTGCCCTGGGGGACTTACAGGGGCCCCTGAGAGCTTCCTGCCACCACTCTCAGTTATAAAGCAGCCTGAACTGGCGCAAATCAAAATAAAAGCAGGCCCTAAATTAAAGAGGAGAGGATGAGGCCTGTCCCCTCCTGTGCTCCTGGGAACCCACATCCTCTGTGAAGCGATGGCCCTGAGATCACTTAACAACCAACGCCCATCAGGTCTGTTAAAACCTAGGAACAGCCGTCGTTGCTGAGGCTCTGGAAGACCCGTGCCCGTGATACCCACCTCTGCTACCCCTGCCTCCACTCCCTCTCTGCTGGATGCTCAAAAACAAAACAAAACAACGAAACACCCCTAGAGGTTGGGATTGATGGTTTCGCCCACTGTTCCTATGCAACTTTTCAGAGAAGGGGGTCTCTCCCTGAAGCTTTCTTAGTAATTTCACAGTTTATCAGGTCTTGGACTTAGAGCCGGGTTGGGAAGGTGGAGAAAGTGCAAAGCTCGTCACTATGGGCAAACTGGAGGTGGGGGGCGGAACAGCGGCAAAGAAGCCCCAGCTCAGAGCTGTGCCCGGCAGAGGCCTCTGCGTCGTGGAGAGAGCCGGGGGCTGCCCCGTGGACTCATTCTCCTTGTGAGGGCATTTTATACCCAGAACAAAGATTTACCAGGTAAGCTAGGACCACAGGCTGTAGCCTCAGGGCCGACAGGGACAGTGTGGGCTTCGTCGGGTATTGGCCTTGGGATCCCTGGCCCTAACCAACCAGGCCAGCCAGCTCCAGACAAGCCCAGAATCCAAAAGGGGCAACCAGAGCTCTCTGAGACCTGCCCCATCCAACCACCCGCGCACCCGCCCGCTCAACAGACATCCCATCCAGGCTGTAGCATCTCCGAGACCTCCCTTCCTCTCCTTTCTCACCCCCATTCTCCTTCATTTCCTTGACAGCCTGACCCTAAATCAAGACCATAACCTTTCAACGGGTCTCCCTGTCTCTGGGCCCTCATGAGCCGCTGCATCCCAGGCGCCATATACTAAATGAATCTCCCTAAAACCTACCCAGGTTCTCTTGAGTGACGGCAGGGTTGCCTACACCATCCAGTCTGAATTTCTTGGTCCAGCGCAGAGGCCCACACCACAGGCACTGCATCGTGACTCTCTCTTTTAGAGTGAGTGACTTCTCAAGAAGAAGAGCTTCGTTTTAATATTTCAAAATCAAATCAAATGTAAATTATGCTTCAATAAATTCTCACCGAAAAGTAATACAAAAACAAACGAAGAGCCTTTGGCCAGTATGTTTTGCTGTGTGCGTGCGTGTGGGCACACAGACGTGTGCCCGAGCAGGGCTGCGGCTCCAGAGCTCCCCGCGAGGGCCGGGTGGGACCCACAGGCAGCTCCTGTTCCATTTGTGAAGCTCTGCACCCCACCTCGGGGCCGCATCGTCCTGGAAGAAGAGGTGCCTTTTCCTTCTCCAGCCAGGCCTCAGAGCTGAGACGCTTTCCTCTTGGAGGAAAAGAGCCGCCCAAGGCCAGGCCTGGCCCAGGTAAGATGGCGAATAAAATGAGGACTGCTCGTTTACAAGCAGCCCAGGCTCCTCCCTTTCGATGTGTGGAGGTGTGAGGCAGAGTGACCCTCCATGAAATAGACATTACAACACAGCATCATTTCCAAGTTCAAATGCACATAAGGGTTTTCTAGCCCACCTCTTTATTCTTTCAGACCACAGCACCGAGAAGGGGGTTACCTGCCCTCGTTTCCCACCTGGTGAGGGGAGACCTTTAAAACTCCACTCCTCTTCCCAGCCTCTCAACCACTTTCCTTCCGGAGCCTCCCAGGTAAGCCTGTGTTTTGTCCCCTACAGCCTGGGAACGCCAGCCCCAGGAGGAGCCCACCCATCAACCTGAACCACTATGCCACCAAGAAGAGCGTGGCAGAGAGCATGCTGGACGTGGCCCTCTTTGTGTCTAACGCCACGCAGCTGAAAGCGGTGCTGAAGCAGGGGCCGTCCTCTCATCACTACACCACCCTCGTCACCCTCATCAGCATCTCTCTGCTTCTGCAGGTGGTCATTGGAATCCTCCTCATGGTCATTGGTGAGGAGCCCAGGCCTAGAGTTGGCCTCGGGGTGGGGGGGTGCCCCCCCCCCCCGGTGGGAAGAAAAGCCTAAGTGCCTCCCTGTCACACCCTGCATTTGCACAGGCCACCTTCTCAGCCATAAGCTGCTGTTAGCCCTGTGCACCTTCAAATGCCCAAGTAACAACCACACAGTGCAGGCAGGCACCCTGTCCCACCTCCTGGTATCCCATCTAGTGGCCACTCCATAATACCTGCTGAATGACTATGCTCACTAACTCATAGCAGCGTTCCTTTGAGCCTCTTGTGCGAGCGTGCATCCCTACCCTTAGAAGACCCAGTATAACTTTGCAAATCCCGGCTCTATTGAGTACCACATGGATAGCCCACACTGGTCAGCTGGGGAGAAAGCATCTCAGCACACTGGCTGCCACCTCCCTTGATCTCTGAGGGACCAGACTTTCTCTGGACTCTAGCAGCTGTGGTGGGGGAAGCTCCAGGCTGTGGCCACCGCCCCCCCGCAGACACTTACCTGCCACTCCCCCTTCTCCACAGCTCGACTGAACCTCAACGAGGTAGAAAAGCAGTGGCGACTAAACCAGCTCAACAATGCAGCCGCCACCTTGGTCTTCATCACCGTCGTCATCAAAGTCTTCATCAAGGCCTTCGGGGCACATAAGACTGGGTTCCTGGCTGCCAGGACCTCAAGGACCCCTCTCTGAACACAGCCTAGAAGGCAGGTGAGGGAGGATGGGAGGTCCCCAGGTGGCGCTTCTCACCTCTGGGGGTTTGGGCTGGGAGAGAGAGAGCATTGCCAAGCAAAAGGGGAAGACCTGGGGCAGGGACGGGCTCTTGGAGAAGAGCTTGGCTTGGGACTCCCCAAGGTCCCCTTGTGCTCTCTCTTCTTAGGCTGGGCTTCTCTCCAGCCTGGGCTGGGTGGAGGCTGTGGTTAGTGGGGGGAAGAGGGAGATGTGGGTTTTCTCTTTGGCACCGTCCAGCAGCCCCTACAGCTCCAATCGTGGTCCACGGGCCAGCAGCGTCAACAAAACCACTGGGAACTGGCCGGCAGTGCAGAGCCTCAGGCCCCGCTTCAGATTCAGATCTGAACCTGTACCTGCGTCCTGAGAAGCCTGCCAGGGCAATCGTGGGACACTTCAGCCTGAGGCACTGGTCTGACCTGCCCTCCTCACCATCTCTCTGCTTCCCTACAGGTTCTGGGCCGGCCACTGCTTCCTGCTCTCTCCCCCGCTGATCTGCCAGGCTGATGGGCACAGTCCACAGCCCCTGGGAGAGCTCCTGGAAGGGCAACGTAGATACCCTTGCTTCCTACCCTCGGCCCTGGAACAAAGATGGGCCCTTTTATCAGCTTAAGTGAACTCATCTCGGCCTGGCGTCCTGAGCTCGGACTGGGGTACCACCCACCTTCCTCCTGGCAGCATCTCCTGTACCTCAGGCATGCATACCGAAGGCTGGGCCTGCCCAGCTTAAGGACTTTGGTTCTGACCCCACCCCATTCCTCCGCTCTGCTCCAGGCCTGTTTTCCCTTTCTGTGGGATGGAATGATTTCCCTTTATAAAGGTTTCTGCAAATCCACTGTGAGTCAGTTTTTACGTCTTCAGTTGGGGAGGCTGAGCACCCGGGCTGCTCTCTCCGTGTCCTAGAAACGGCTCAAAGGAGCAAGCCCTAGCCCGGAGGGAGAAGAGGCTTTTAAGTCATTCCCTCTCCTCTGGGTCCTGCTGAGTCAAATTTCCCGGCCTAGTGCCTTGGGCTAAGTACCATCTGCTGCATCAGTGGCAGACGAGTCATTTCTGGATTGGTCTGTGTACGCATGGTGCTTTTTGAGAACCTACTATAGGCTGCCCCAGCTTTCATAGCAGCATCTTCTCTTGGGCATGAGTTTAAGGAATACAAACTAATTTTGATCTCTGCCTAGACCAAATATGACTAGGACAGTACCTTTGTACCTGTAAAGCGGCAACAGGGCACCCCCAGCTCAAACAGAAATGACTTTTAGATTGTCTGCTCTTTTATTTTTATTTATTTTCACATTTTATTTATTTATTTGGCCGCGTCGGGTCGTAGTTGCGGCACGCAGGGTCTTCATTGCGGCGCGCGGGCTGCTCTCTAGTTGTGGCACGCGGGCTCCAGAGCCCATGGGCTCACTAGTTGCAGCATGTGGGCTTAGTTGCCCCGTGGCATGTGGGATCTTAGTTCCCGACCAGGGATCGAACCCACGTCCCCTGCGTTGCAAGGTGGATTCTTAACCACTGGACCACCCAGGAAGTCCCTATCTGCTCTTTTAGAATAAGCCACACCTCAGTTTCTCTCCACTGTTTACCCAGCCATCCTGTGTCCACCATCCTTTCTCAACTGAAACCACCAACCTCCATGAATCTAGTGCTCAGAAAATGCTCCTCAGACAGGAACCAGGTACGCCCCTTCAAGTAAACCACAGCCCAGGGAGGGTTGACCCCACCCCCCAGGCGGTGAAGGGTGGAGGGTCCCTGGCACATCCGTCAGAGGCTTGACAGCTGCAGGACGGCGACGTGAACCCTGGGCCCACCCCTCTCCCACCCTGATGGGCCAGAGGAAAACACAAGAGCATTTTGTTTTCTGAGAAGATGCTGTATTCAATGCTTTCCCTCCCCCCACCCTACACATTTCCCTACAGAGTAGCGGCCATGCCAGGCCCTCTCCATTAAGGCAGGCGGTGTGGAGGTAACAAACATCAAACACAAGGCACTGGCTGGGGCGGGGGGGGTGACGGATCAGGCAGGGGAGGCTGGGCGGGCTCCCGTCGTCAGGAGGGGTGAAGCGGGAGGGCTGTCTGGGTAGCTTTGGACCTTGCAGGGCGATGCCCAGGGATACGAGCAGCCCCAGAAAGAAACCTGGCACCGCAGCCAGCCAACTGCAGCTCTCGCCTACTCCCTACAGCCCTTTTCCCAAGGCACGGAGCCTGAGCAGGGACCATAAAAAGCCACGGCCTGAGGGCAGATATGGCCTCCGTAAACCACAGTCTATGAATTGAAAAGTCTGTGTCCTTCCTGATTTCTTAAGAGGGAGGCAGGGATTCTCTTCAACCTCCAGAAGGTTCTCGGGGGGCTCCATTCTCCCATAGGCCAAGTTCATGCTCTTGGTGAATGCAGGGCCCACCAAGTGGACCCAAGTAGACTTGGACTCCGCCACAGCACAGAGCCTGGGCCCAGCTGACACCCCCCCCGGGCCCTGCTGCACCTCCCCCTACGCCCTTCCTCACAGACACTGGGCTTCGAGATGCAGTGTCCGATGACCGTTGGTGAAGCAGAGTAGCGGCAGAGGCAGCAGTAGTAGAAAAATCCCCAGCCATGAAGGCGTCTGGGATCATTAGTGCAAGATACGTCTGTGATCGTAGGTGACAGAGAGGGTGCCCCAGACCACGAAGGTCAAGGGCTGTGTTCCCTGAAACGGCTTCACTTTTCATCCTCCGGCCCTGCTCCCTTCCACGTGAGGAAGTAGTTCAGAGCGATCCCCTCACCTCCCCAGACCTTCCCCCCGGGTCCCTGTTCCCTAGTTCCGGGTGTCTTCCTCCTCGTCTTCCCCACCGGGCCGGCCTGGGGCCCTCTCTGCAAGAGGGAGCTGGGCTGTGAGGACTCAAGCTGCCCACTTCCCTTCTCATCCCTTCCCGCTGGATCCCACCCCTCCTCTCCTCCTCTCCCGGCTCTGCTTCACATGGTCCCCAAGGCCCAGCTCACAGGCCGCTGGGACAGAAAGGGGCTTCTCGTCCCTGCCTTCCCCACCTTGCCCATGATACACGGCCTATTCACCCAACACCAGGGGGCCAGGAGCCCCCTGCCCATCGGTTCCCCGGCTCCCAACCCCCCGTGGCACCGGGAAGAGGATGGCAGTCTGGAGTTAGTGCCACCTGGAGGGTAAGGTTAATGCCCTAATTGGTGGCCAGCTGTTGGGTGGCCACCTGGGAGAGATATGCGTGTCCTGGAGCCACATGCCTGCGGGAGAGCTGAGAATGACTCCACGTGAGGCCAGCTCCTCGGTTACCAATCAGCTGTTGGTCAAGGACCGAGCGACGCACCTGTGGGTCTGAGGTATGCGGGGGCCCCCCTAAATGCACGACTCTGCCCCCTCACAGTCAATGCTGGATCTGGACAGGTACAGTTTTGGTTTTCTGTTAAAAAAATAAAAACCCCAATAAAATACGTCCAATAGGAGAGCTTCCCAGTCCACGGCCACTGCCCCCTGAGGGGCCCAGGGTGGACGCTGGAAGGCACCTCCCGGTCAGGGTGGTGTCGCCCAGGTAGGGCTTTCCTTCCTCAACCCGGTTCCGCTGCCCGTTCCAGGAGCTGTCCCGTCTCTTTCCCATCTTCTGGCCCCGGAGGCCCAGAGGTGGGGAGAGGCCTTGGCCTCCTCCCATGGAGGACGGCTGCCGGCGCAGGGGGTGTCGGCTCGGAGGCCCCTCGGGCCCAGCGCGGCCCCTGCTCCCCTCTCTCCTTCCCTCCGGCAGCAAGTGGGCACTGGCCAGGCCACCGTGGTGCAGGGGCTGGAAGCGGTGGGTCCAGCGGGCCACCCCCGGGGTTACGGCGTCTTCATCTGGCGGCGGTTCCACATGCCTCGCTTGGAATGGAAGTGATGGAAGAAATTCCGGAGGGAGAGACGCTCCACTTCCAGGCCTGCTTGGAGGATCCTGGGTGGGAAGGGGCGGGATGAGCAACAGGTGCACAGAGGCGGGGGTGGGGAGGGGGGCCCCCCGAGGAGCCTGCCTTCCACGTCTCCGCCAGGCCCTGTCCCTGTCACCCTCTGGCTACTCCCCATGGGGCAGGGGAGCGGGTGGGGCAAGCAAAGAGAGCCAAAGGGCCTGGACCTATGAGGCACGGCATCTTTCAGAGCCTCTCCCTCTACAAAGAATAGCGATGGGCTGGGTACGGCGAGGGTGAGGCAGAGGACCAGTGATGATGGAGGCGGGGGGCGGGGGTGGAGGGTGGAGGCCACAGAGCAGACCTCACCCATCCCTCCCCGCCCCCTTTCCATATACATGGCCTGTTGGGAGGCCTGAGCTTCCAGCAGGTGGAAATAACTGGAATTTGGAGCCGTTTCTCTCTCCTCGGGCTTCAGAGGAGGCAGGGAGGTCCAGAACTGGTCGAGGTCTGCCTCTTCGCAGCGGTGGGGGTGACACCAGCCTAGGCTTCTGTCCACCTTGGGGTCTGACTGACAGAGCTTTACGGGAGCTGCGTTATCGAATACAAGCTCCCTCACCCTCCCTCCTTTGCACCTTAAATTCCCTTAGTTTTGTCGCCTTCCCTCCTGCCTGCTCTCTAGGGAAAAAACAAACAGACCAGGTTGTTAAGCCTCCAACAGTCACAGCTGTGAGATTTGGGGCAAGTTGTTAACTTCTCCCCAAGGCTCAGTTTTCTCATCTGGAGAACGGAGACAATCACACCTACCTCACAGAGGTCTGGGGCGCAATAAAGGAGGTGATGGATGTAAATCACCTGCCAAGTACAGGCGCCCAGTGATTGGTGGGTGAGGAAGTGCCCTGTCTCTCAGGAAGAAGAGTGTATCTTCCCTGTCAAGGTCCCCTCTCTCCCGGAGCCCCTGACCTTGCCTGTCCACCTCCTCTGGGCACTGTTCCAGCAATTACACCCTTTCTCTCTTGGATTTTTCCCCTGTCCCTCCTTTGCCCCCACCCCTCAAGCTCAAATCTCAAGGGATCATCCGCCTCCCCTTCCCTTCTCTTGGCAATAAATTCTTGAAGGAGGAATCTCAGACTAAGCTTCCACTTCCTTACCACCCACATGCTCTGAAATCCCCTCACGCTGGGGTCCCACCAGCCTGCTCTCTGCTGCAACCCTTCTTCCCACCGCTCCCTGCCGCCGGCTGGCCCTGCCTCTTCTTTACGTACCACAGACCCTGTCCTCCTCCCCCAAACTCCCTTCTACCAGGTTCCAGGGACCCAGAACCTCCTGGATACCTGTTGCCCTTTAATGGTCCACACTGGCTCTTTTCCTGACCCTCTGCCGGGTCTCTCATCCACCGCCACAAGCTCAGCCTCCTCCCCAGCCGTGTCTTCCCGAGTGGGCAGGTGGGAGCCTTGCCGAGAACAGTACCACTCGCATCCACACAGCTCGGAGCCTGTGTTCTTCCCCCCGACAGTCTGCCAGGCACCCACCACGCCCGCCCTGTGACACAGGCAGAGGCAGTATCCCCTCCGATGGATCCAGTCTCGGCGAGGGAAGGAATCCGACCCCCAAGAGGCGGTGCTGGGCCTGGGGGGGTCTAGTCCTGCCCCCACCCGGGGCCCCTCCCCCAGGCCTCTCAGGTGCCCTCGCTCCCCACTCACCTGTCCAACAGCTCCCAGTCCTCTCCACCCCAGCGGTCTCGGAACTCCTTGGTGTTCATGCCCCCGATCCTGTCCAGGTCTGACTTGTAGATGCCGAGCAGCCCAAAGCCATTCACCTCCCAGTAGCCTGTGGACAGACGCCCCAGATGAGCTGACCCAGGGCCAGGAGGACAGAGAAGGCTGAAAGCTCTCATCTGCACGAGCCCCTCGCCTATGTGCGGGGGGAAGCCCCCGGAGCTAAGGTTCCGGGTCCAGGGGAGGCAGCAGTCCTACCAGGGAGGGACCAAGGGCCGGTGACAGCCCTACAGGAGGCTCTGACGGCAGCAGCCCCCGAGGGCACAGCCTTGCGCCGGGTGGGGAATCTTCCTCCCATCTTTGTATCCTCACACAGCACGCCGTCTGGCACATAGTAAGTGCTTAATAAAGGTCTGATGGACAAAAGAAGGGGAAGATGAGGCGGGAAATGTTCATCGCTGCTGCGGCTGCGTCAGCTCAGCCCTGGGGCACTTCTCTGCGGTCTGTCCAGCGGGGGGGCGGGGGGGGGGGGGGGGGGGGGGGCGGAGGGGGAGGGGGGGGGAGGGGTGCTGCCATTGTAGACACGAATATTTCCAGCTCTGGGTTAAGAAGCAAGACAGAGAGGCCTTTCCTACCCTCCCCAGCCCAGGACAGGCTCACCCTCAGGCCACTGGGGAGTGGCGCCGCAGTGCAGCCTCATGACCATGGGGGCGAAGGCCATCTTGCCCTCCACACAGTGCTTCCGGATGGTATCGATGATTCCAGCTGGGAAGTGGATGTGGAGGTCACAGAGGAAGATGATGCTGTGCGGGTCCTGGGGACAGAGGTGGGAGGGTCAGCAGCCCCTACAGACCACGGCGAGGAGGCCAGGCCGCTCTCTAGGGCAATCCTCAGGCTCTTTCCCATTTCAATGACTGACAAACTTGCGTGAAACAAATTGTTGGATGGGTTTCCAGGGTACTGGGCATCAGGGCGCAGTTCTCACCATCAGAGAGGGAATCTCAACTCCTCCCTGACCTTTCACGGACTCCGAGGACCCTGCATGAATGCTCCCACCCTGGTACCGGCCCTGCGGCGCAGCAGAGAGGACCCTGTGTCCTCGTCCCTTCCTCCCCGAGGAGCCGGCCGTCTGTGCGTCTCTTCAGCAGCCTTAGTCACGTCTCTCAGGCAGCTTACCTTCACCAGGTCCACGCCAGCCTGAAGCCCGGCTGAGCGTTCGAAGTTCCCACTTAGCTTCATGTACTGGTAGCTGCGGAGAGAGCAGAGAGGGGCTGAGCCTCAGAACCCGGCTGTGGCAGTCCTAGGTGGAAGCTGGCAGGCAGAGAAGAGGTGGTGCGTGCACCTGGGATGGGCCTACGGGCAGGCGGGTGCGGCCTCCGGGAAAAGCTAGAGGCTGGGAATCAGGGAAGCTGGCGGGGCTTCAGGAAGAAGTGGCTCAGGCTGTGCCCTGCCGAGAACACCCTCACCTCCGCAGCCTGGACCTTCGCAGGGCCATCTCGACGTCCATGTCCTCGCTGCTGTAGTCGGTGATGATGATGTTGAAGTGCGGGTCGCCGGTGACACCGAACAGGGTCTCCATGTCTCTGATGAATTGCTGCACCCAGCGCGCCTGGTTCTTTACTGCCCGGTGGGGCAGGCGGGGTGGGCGGGGAGAAAGAAGCAGAGGTAACACAAAGGAGGGCACCTCCACTCCCGGTTCCTGCGTGCTCAGGAGTCCCATCAGACTTTTGCTGAGGGTAATGCGGCTACGGGAAAGGTCAGCAGAGCAGCGGGGGACGGAGGGTAGAGGGAGAGCTCACCGTTACAGGGGCCTCCACACCACCACCACCACCACCACCCCGCAGAGCCTCCCAGGGAGGGCTCTGCGGGAAGGGCGGGGGCTTGTCATCAGCTCATCCTGGTAACCCTCCTGGGCTCTCACACTCAAACCTTCTAGCTGTCCATCTTACGGTCATCCTTCACGTTCTGTCCGACCCCACGGCTACACTCCTTGACAGGCTCCCCTCTTGCTATACAAACCAGCCAGTCTGCCCTCCCTGTCGCACTGCCCCAGGCCAGCAGCCCAAGCTGATTTTCACGTCCAACCCTGAATGCTGGGTCAGTAAGAAGAGCCGCTGGCCTATAGGTCAGCGTCCTTCCCAGCTGCAGCCCTGACTGCCCACATGACCTCACACTAGTTACTTTTCTCCTGTGAGCCCGTTTCCCGAAGTGGCCTCTCCCACAAGTTCTTGTGGAATCACATCGGGGAGCAGAGACCGGGTGCTCGTGATCACGTGAGGCCCCTGCTCCGCGGACAGCGCCCAGGTGGCAGGAGGCTCACCCGGCACAACGAAGTGGACCACGGCGTGGTGGTTCCAGGAGAAGCCCTGGGGCCAGCACAGCTTGGGCTCCGGGGCCCGGGCACTCAGGACATGTCTCTGGCGGTCGTGTGGGCTCCACACCAGGCCTTGCAGGTTCCGGGCCTCGGCCTCTTCCCCACCAGCGGCATCGACGCCCTGCCTGCCACGCGTGGACACGAACTCCGAGAGCCGCACCAGGTGCTGGCCTCGTTCCAGCAGCTCAAGCTCCAGCAGGTAGCGGCCCCCACGGAGGTGGTCCTGACGCTTCTCCACGTTCACGATGCGCCGCAGCTGGTACCTCCTGGCGGAAAGGGTGCGGGGCTTGGGTCACTCTTCCCGCATGTGGGAGCAAGGCCAGTCGTCAGGAGACCTTGGTCTTCGCCCAGCTTTGCTGTTGGTTAACATGCTTGCGTGATGCTTACCTGCTCCAGTGAGCACTGCTGCCATCTTTAAAAATGCACCTATTGGGGCCTCCCTGGTGGCGCAACTGGTTGAGAGTCCGCCTGCCGATGCAGGGGACACGGGTTCGTGCCCCGGTCCGGGAAGATCCCACACGCCGCGAAGCGGCTAGGCCCGTGAGCCATGGCCGCTGAGCCTGCGCGTCCGGAGCCTGTGCTCCGCAACGGGAGAGGCCACAGCAGTGAGAGGCCCGCGTACCACAAAAACAAAACAAAACAAAATGCACCTATTGGGCTTCCCTGGTGGCGCAGTTGTTGAGAATCCGCCTGCCAATGCAGGGGACACGGGTTCAAGCCCTGGTCCGGGAAGATCCCACGTGCCATGGAGCAATTAAGCCCGTGAGCCACAACTACTGAAGCCCGCGTGCCTAGACCCTGTGCTCCGCAACAAGAGAAGCCACCGCAATGAGAAGCCCGCGCACCGCAACAAAGAGTAGCCCCTGCTCGCGGCAACTAGAGAAAGCCCGCGCAGCAACAAAGACCCAATGCAGCCAAAAATAAATAAATTAATTAATTTAAAAAAAATAAAAGCGATAAAAATGTTCTGGAATCACGTAGTGGTGGTGGCTGCACAACATCCTGAATACACTTAAAAACCACTGAATCGTACACTCCAGAATGGTGAACTGAATGGTATGTGCCTTTTTTTTTTTTTTTTTTTTTTTTTTTGCTGCGGTACGTGGGCCTCTCACTGTTGTGGCCTCTCCTGTTGCGGAGCACAGGCTCCGGACGCGCAGGCTCAGCGGCCATGGCTCACGGGCCCAGCCGCTCCGCGGCACGTGGGATCTTCCCGGACCGGGGCACGAACCCGTGTCCCCTGCATCGGCAGGCGGGCTCTCAACCACTGCGCCACCAGGGAAGCCCGGTATGTGCCTTTTATCTCAACTAGAAAAATGTTGGTGGGTTGAATGAATGAATGAAAGAACAGAGCATTCATCCATGCCTTCTGCCCCCGCCCTTCTAGCCCACATCTGGGTCTCAAGGTGTCTTTTTAGCCCCAGTTTTGCCTGTCCCATCTCTTTACCAGCTCCCTCCCTGAGAGCCTTCCCAGTGTTCAGCCTGTGTCCTGGGCCAGGCCCCAGGGATCTCAGACCTTGCCTGATGGTGGGACCGAGACCTGACAGGCACTCATCCTCCCAGGCGCCTGCGGCCAGGGCCCCCCCCTGCCCAGCCCACGAGAGCCCTTTACCTTACCCCCGGCTGCGCTGGTTAAGCTTCTTCAAGAAGACCCGCGTGACCTCGAGCGCCTCCTGCTCGGGAAGCAGCAGGTTGCCAGATGTGTTACAGCTCAGGTCAATCCAGTCGGTCCGCAGGGCTTGGAAGTCGAGGTTGCTGGCACTGAAGGTCTGGTCCCAGTTCACCACCGGGTCGAACATGGACAGGTATTCCAACACCTCCCTCACCTCCTCCTCCTCTTCTTCCCCCTCGTCCTCTCCCTCCGCTCGTCCTTCCTGGCCGCCAGCCGCGGCCAACACCTCCTCCGCCTCCTTAGGCCAAGCCCTCCTGGGGTCCGGAGGCTCCGTCCTGTCGCCCCTTCTCTGCTTTGCAATGTATGACTCAACTTGACTCAGCCACTGGGACTGCCCCAGCGTCTTCCCGGGGCTGCCACCCGCGGGTCTGGGCCTCTTCACTGGAGGCGGGTGCCCTGCTGGGCGTCCCGGGGGCCACTTGTCAGGATGCCGTGGAGCCTGGTGGGGCTCGGGGTTGGGCTTCCTGGCCTTCTTCTCTGCTGGCTGGGCCGGGATGGCGCTGGTCCTTGCTGGGAAGGGGGCTGTGGAGTTCTGCGTGGGAGGGGGCACCACCAGGCCCCCCTGCGGCCGAGCCAGAAGCCTCCGCAGGCTTCGGAGGCGGCGGTTGGTGGCGTCCTGCCCGGGGGCCGTCGGGGGCCCTTGCTTCCCCTCCGGTGTCCTGGCGTTCTGGCCGTCAGGGGCAGGGGTGTCCTCTGCCGCTTCTCCGTACTGGGATTCTTCTAGAAGGCCTTCCTCGGAGCCTGCTGTCAACAACCATCCCTCGCGTGGGGTTTCAACCTCTCCCCAACAAGATCCACGAGACGGCTGAGGACCAGTGGGTGAGCCAGCGGGGGTCCCTGGCGGGGCCTGCACTGGGCCCGGGGTGAGTTACTCAACCTCAGCTAAAGCCAGGGTCTCCCTCTTCCATAGGGTTGTCAAGAGTGAGTGACACGAAGGACAGAAAGCACTAGCCAGGGCCTGGCACATGCAGGGACCCAGCAGATAGCCCCACTTAGTCCCCAGTACTGCAAGGAGAGAGGCCACAGGAAGACAGTGCTTCTGCACAGCAGAGCTTCCCTAATGATGGGCCGGGGTAGCGAGGCCCTCGGACAGTTCAGGTAGCGTCCCCCATGGCCCTTCGTCCTCTAAATGTGCCTTGGAAAGGAAGAGGGGGGAGAAGGGCTCCTCCCCCGACCCTTGGGGCTGGGGGGAAGGGCTGTGGGGTTTGCATTCTAAGCTCCTGCGGGGGGAGGGCGGCTCGGCTGTCACTCTGTACCTGGCTGCTCCGGCCCCTGCTTCGGAGGCTGGTCAATCTTGATGTAGTCCTGAAAGTTGAGCCTGCAGGAGTGAGGGAGGCTGGCATGGGCACCCTGCAGGCCATGGCGCGGTCGGGAGGGGCGGCCTGAGGTCATGCCCGGCCGGGGGTGCAGGGGGGGAGGCTGCGTGTGTGCACGTGTGCTTGTGTGAAGCACCCAGGAAGCGCCAAGGCTCCTTGGTGGAGGGTCTCTGTGGCCCTTCTGGTCCAGGCAGCCCTCCCGGCTCCTGCCCCATCAGTGTCTCACCTGTCCTGGTAGTAGGAGTTTTCCTGGTAGAAGCACTTATTATGGGTCTCCATGTGGCTCAGGCGGGTGTAGTCATTGGGGTAAACAAAGGACAGGTGAACCTGGAGGCGGAGAGCAGGGCTGCTGTGGACACAGCATCTGGATCCCACCCCACCCCTGACGTGCCCTCCCCTGGGCTCTGGACTGAACGTGCCCGGGTCAAGCTCCCGTGTGCACATCCCAGTGTCCTGCCCTGGCTCGTTCTCTGCAGCGGCAGCCGGGGCCACCCCTCCACCCCGCCCCTCCTGCGGCCTTGCCCTCTCCTGCCACCTCCCACAGTCCCGAGACAACCCCTGTTACTCCCTGCACTGTCTTTTGCCCCCTTTCAACATAGCTCGAGGCCTCGGCCACCAAAAGCCTTCTCAGCCCTGCCCCACGGCTGCCCCCAGCCTCTCCCGCCGTCACCTCTGGACCCAGGGGCGCAGCAGGATCCTGCCCCTGGGGCTTCCGTGCGGGCTAGGGGTTCTCCAAGGCGGAGCTCCACCTCACCAGCGCCTTGTCTATAAGTTTAATAAATACCGCCACCCTCGTTGCGGAGGGTGGGAGGCCTCAGCCAGCCCTCCCCGCACAGCTCCGGGCCCCGCAGGGCAGCCCATCCGGACCGGGCACAGCGAAATGTCGGTTCTCTGGGCCCCAGGAGGCATCCCACCCGCTGGCGTGTGGAGTGGGGAGGAGGGGCCAGCCTCTGCAGTCCCGGCAACGGGCAGCGAGCCCCCTCCCACGCCTGTCCCTGCCGCCTGGCCCGAGACTTACAAACCGGAGTCCCTGGTAGCGCTGCAGACGAAGCCCGTCCACCAGGTAGCTGGGCTTGTAGGGACAGTCGGGCAGGACGCGGCGGAGCTGGGACCTGGGGATCAGTGGCACTGGGACAGAAGGAGGTGGAGTGAGGTTGAGTGAGGGAGCCTGAAACAGGCTGGCTCACAGCCACAAAGCCTCCAGGCTGCGGGGCGAGGGCTGGATCTGCGGCCCCAAGCCCACACGTTTCTGTTTTCACTCGTGGCAGCATCCAGCCCGGCAGCTGAGGCCACCAAGCGGAGGCTGCCACCACTCTTGGGGGTGGGGGTGGATTCCAGGGGCAGCTGGAGGCAGAGAGCTCACACGCGGCGCCTGACTCGAGGCACAGGACGGTGCTGGGATCGCTGTACAGGGCCAGGCTCAAAACAGGTTTAGAAACTCCCAGTGAGGCCAAGAAGCCTCCCCCTAGGGCAGTGCCAGTAACTGAATTCCCTTCCGGCTGTCATGGCGGGGACAGGGCTGGAAGGGGACACTTTGTCGTCTTTTAAAATGTAAACACTCTGGACAGCTTAAGACTCCTACACCTTAGTGGGGACGTACTTCTCTCACTGGACAGCAAGAGCTAGAATCCAATAAGAAACCGATATACGTGATTGCAGAGGGCACACCTGGGTTCTGGCTCTATTTCTTGTCCTTTAATGTTTGCTCTGTAATGATTTGTACAATTGCAAAGCTGTACATCTGTCTTTTTGTACCTTTCTGTATGCATGTTATATTTCATACAAGTAAAAGAAAAGAGTCTCTGATTTGGGGATGTTGCGGTAGCACAGAGGCCTCCTCCTCGACATCCGCGGACCTGGCAGCGCGTCCCCTGGCCGGAGGTCAAGTCCGCAGGGAGGTCGTACCTCGATAGAGGGTGTCCCGAGGGTCGGGCCGCAGCATGTCGGCCAGGGGCTGCTCATCAGTGGGAAGAGGGTCTGGGGAGCCTGCATGGCTGGCTGCTGTCTGCGGGATGTGGCCCACCTCATCCATCCTCAGGACTGTCTCATCTGGGCCCAGGGAGGAAAGAACAGAGGGCAGCTGTGACTCCCAGAGAAAGTCAGCCCAGAAGCCAGGCCCCTGCCTCCTGGAGGGGCCAGGAAGGGGCCGACTGAAGGCTTCCGTATCCCCAGGCTGGTACAGTATGTGACGCGCTCAATCCCGCTTGCCCCCAACCCTGCCTCCACAGCCTGTGGTCTCCCTTGGACCCCCTCCACCAGCTCCAGGGCCAGCACACACCACAGTTTTGTGTGAGTTGGAAAAAGCCACCTCTTCCTCAAAATGTGTTACCTGCTGCCTGCTGGAAATTCATCATTAGAAGTCTGTTTATCTAACAAACACAGGAAGGGCACTTACTAAATAATAAGCCAGGCGCTGACCCAAGCATCTACAAATATCAACGCATTGAATCCTCAGAGCTGCTGGGGCTTATGTACTATTATCATCATTCCCACTTTACAGACAAGGAACTTGGGCAAAGGGAAACAAAGTCACGTGCCTGAGATCACACAAAAGCTGAGTGAACCCAGGCCTGTGTCTCAGCCTCTCCAGCAGACAAGCCCAGGCCCAGCAAGCAGGGAGCCCCTAGGCTTCCAGCACCCACCCCTCACCTCCCTCTGGGGGTCTGGTGTTCAAGACTACTTGTCCCCTATCTGACCAGCCCCGGGGGCTGGCTCCTTGTCTCTGCTCCCTGCTTCCTGAGATCATCTGCCGTGACCCCAGATAAGAGCTCGGTTACCTCTGGCCCATCTCACTGGCTTCTTACCTGAATTGGCCTCGGGCTTCCTTTTTCTTGGTTCACACTCAATCTATGGATTCCAATCTCCCTTCCTCTTCTGGCACCAACTGGCCCTTCTGCCCTGACCTCCTGCTTCGGTCACCGGCAGCCTCCCCCGACCCCTCTCGCCCCTTCCTCACTGCTGCCCTCTCCTGTGAACCAGACCTTCCGTTCCGCTCTCCCTCCTGCCCTCCGTGCAAACGCTCTTCCCACCGTCTCCCGGTCTCCTCCAGACCCACCTTCCCTTCCTCGCCAGGGCTTCTGCTCTGCCAGCTCCTCCTATACCTGGGCCCACACGGCCCACCTGCCAGTGGTGACTTCTTAGTGGGGCCTCCAGGCAGGGGGAAATCATAAGCAACAACAAGTATACTCGGGGAGTCCACTGACTGCAGCCTGAGAGAGGTGAGAACGCTTCCTCTCCTCTGGCCACAGCCGTGCGAGAACCATGGCGGCTCATCCGCAAAATAGGGACTGGCCTCCCTCAGAGGCTTTTCATCTGGAGTGAGCGTCCTGGTCTCTGGATCCCCTTGAAATCATACAGACAACACCGTGTGGAGGTGGACGGGTGTTTCTCTGGGGCGAGGGCTCGGAGAGGTTCCGGAAGGTGCTCACAGGTCACCGACCCCCCGGGAGCTAAGGACCTCTGACCATAGCGCCCTTCAGGCTCTGCTCCTTGGTCCGGACCCTCCACACCTCGTTCCAAGCAGCCCTCCCAGGCCCGCCAAGCCAGCCCCACCTCGGCCCGTCCCCAGGCTGGGGCAGGACACTCACTTGTGAAGAGGGACAGGGAAGCGGAGTCAATGATGCTGAACTTGGCCCCGGGGTCATTCCGTCGCCACTGGGAGAGGAGAGAGGGTGGACGCGGCAGGTTGGAGGTGGCTGACTTGGAACAGGGCTCAGGGGCCTGGGCAGAGGGGACCTCGGGGGCTCACCGCGACTTCCACGTGGTCGGTGCCCTGGTCGTTCTGCTTGTGTAGCACCTCGAAGTAGTACCTGCGGGCGGCTGACAGGCTGGCGGGAGAGGGCAGGGAACAGGGGGCTGTCTCCCAGGCCCCCACGCCGCCTGAGCCCCCTCCCAGCGCCACACACGCCCCGTCCCTCCCTCCCTTCTGGTCCCAGGGACCTGCTGGCGAGCATCTGGGTCAGAACCCCCATCACCGCTTACTGACAGGGCGGCCTCAGTCTTCCCTCCCGTGAGATGGGATACCAACAGCACTACCTCCCTGGATACTCAGCTCTCTGTTAACCCTCAGAGAGCTGTTCCTATGCGGAGGCACTGTGCTCAGTGCTTTATACACATGAACTCACGTAATCCCTGTTTGCAGGTAAGAACCCTGAGGTGCAGGAAATTTGGGTAATTTGCCCAAAGTCCCCAGGTAACAAGGGTGCAGGTGGGGTTGGGACCCAGGCAGTCTGGCTTTAGAGCCCTCATCCTCGGCTGCTGTGCTGAGTCTCACGGGAAGTGGTGACCTCGGGGGCTGGCACGGTCAGTGCTCTGTGCAAGCTGTACTGTCTCACTACCATCAACACCAGCACCAGCACCTTCAAGCCAACACGTGTTCGTGCCAGTGTGCGCGGGCCACCAGGTGGCGCTCTGGGGCTGGGATGGTTCCCATCCCAGCCACTCCAGGCCTTCCCTCCAGCCTGCCCAGGGGCTCCCCGCCATTCAGAACTTTCTGCAGCTCAGAAAGAGCAGAGGCGGTCCAGCTGTGGACCCTGCAGGGATGGAGAAAACGGGCAAGCAAGGGCGGGAAGAAAGGAGACCCATTCTGTTTTCCAGTCCTGAGTGCGTCTGAACAGCTGTGTGACCCTCATTAAGCCACAGCCCTCTCTGGGCCTCAGTTCCTCATCTGTAAAGTGAGGAAGGATGGGCCAGGTGGTCTCTAATCAAAGACCTGGTTTACCTGAATGCACGTGGCCCTGGCTCGCTGAACCTCTGTGATGGGGCGGCGGGGGGGAAGCGTCCCCCGGGCCCGGGCCCCGGCCCTGAGCCGGCCTCTCGGCACCTCACGGAGGCTGGGGCTTCTGCCGTTCCTGTCACCACACTCCCTACTCACCTCACTGGCCTGGACATTTGACTCCGAAATTTTCCGAACTCTCCAGGGGCAGTCCACTCTTTTCCAGTCTGGAGGTGTGGGGAGCAAGGGAAGAGAAGGGCGGACACAAAGGCAAAGTATGGAGGGTGGGAAGTGGCGAGTGAGGGGACACAAGCAGAAGGAGAGAGGAGGCAAGTGGGAGGAGGGAGGAGGGGAGATGGGGAGGGTGGGAAGGGACACGGGACCACTCGGGAAGTAACTCCCCTTCCCCGCACGCCCCTCCCCCAGCAGCCGGTGCCCACCGCGGGAATCCTCAGCATCAGGACCAGAGCACCCAGGATGGGTGTGGCCCAGTCCTGAGTCTTCCCCGGGTCTGTTCCCGGCCACACCCAGTCCATCCCTCTGTAAGATGGGAGGCAGCGGGGGAGAATGCTGCTTCTTATGTCTCTTCCCTGGCTGTCACACCAGACTGTCCTGATGGAGGCAGGTGACCTGGCTCCCGGGGGCAGTGGGAGGGCCCATGGGACCGTGGGGACCCTACCTTGCCGACACTGGCCAGCAGCTGCAGGCCTGAGACCTGGTCGTCACGGCTCAGCCAGAATTCTGCGTTGTCATCGGCGGCGATGGCAAACTGGATCTCCCCTGGGCATGAGGGCGGTTTCCAGGTGAGAGCAGGACGGGCCTCCACAGAGCGGGTTCTCATGTCTCAGGCTAAGTCCTCTTTGGGGGCTTGCTGCTGGGCTCCCCTCTTTGTAAAGTGGGGGTCTCTACACCCTGGGAGACCCCGTGGAGATGGAGACTTACAGGGAGGGACCAGCTAGTTCCAGACCCTTCAAATCAGGGCGTGAAGTGGCCGCCTGGGGTCCTGCGTGAGGCCTCACCAAGGCCAAACTCCCCCCCTCCCCTGAGGGTGGGCTATCAGGGTCCAGCTGACCCAGGGCAGGCGATGTGCCCCGGGCACCCTGAGAGCTCGGGCAGGAAGGGGAAGAGCGGGATCCGGGGCTGGCCTCACCGTCGCTGAAGGGGTGCAAGTAGCCAAAGATGCGGAGGCCGTAGTTGGTCCACTTGGGGGACACGGCCAGCTTCCTCAGGGTTGTGCGGATCTGTGCCGGGAAACCAGAGGGGGACCATTACCCGGAAGAGGGAAGAGGGAAGTGAAGAGGCTGGTCTGCTCAGGGCTGGCGGGAGGACCAGGAGGGCGGGAGGCAGGCGGACCCGCCTCCCGCTCCCACTTGCTTCTTTATCTAGGTGACCTGCAACAGTGCACAGCCCCACAACTGTACGTGGCGGCCTCCTGGGTAAACTATATTGCCAGGGAAATCCCTGGGAAGGGAACAAGGGAGACACTGTGGGCGTTAGACGGGGGTCCACAGGATAAAGGAAAAGAAACGAACCAGAACAAAAGCAAGGGAAGGTGAGGAAGGCAGAAGCGGGGGCAGGCGGGCAGCGGGGGAGGAGGCACTCACGTGTGGGTACAGGGGGAAGTGGAGGTCCCTCCGCAGCTGCTGCATGGAGCTGCCGCACCAGTCTTCAAACACGTGCAGGTTGACGCGGCCCCGGAACTGCACGGGGCAGGGACAGGGTGTGAGCGTGAGATGGGGCCGGCCTGCAGCCCCGGCCCGAGCGCTCCTCACTGTTGAAGGTCATGGTCCACCCAGTCCCGCTCCCGTCCTCGGCACCCACGGCTGCCTGGGGAACCTCATCCCCGTGGCCTGGCCCTGAGGCCTGGGGCTGTTTTTCTGTCCTTGCACGTGTCCACACGCCCACATGCATGTACACGCACATATACACACTCCCGGCTCTTTCCATGCAGGAAGTGGGCTGGTCTGCATCCCCCAGGCAGGGGGAGTAACAGCCAGGACAGAATGGCAGGAGGGAGGTGCCAGGCTGGGGCTTCAGCCGGACCCGCTCTCCCTCCCCTACCGCCTCGTAAGAGGACACCCGCACAGCTGTCTGGGTGAAACCTCACCCACCCGTGGTCTTCGTGCTACTGGCTGCCCTCACGGGGAAGGAGCTGGCAAAGCTGCAGGAGGTCTGGGGGCCCCATCAGCAGAGGGGCTCTGACGGCTCTCCTGGGAGCTCAGAGCCTCATGCTGCCCAGGCCTCTGCTGGGATGCCCACCAGGTGCCTGGGCCTTCGGGGCAGCCCTGGGAAGGTAGGAGCAAGGAGGTACCTGCCTCCCCTCCTCGGCTGTGGGGCTGGTGGGCACAGGACTGAGCTTGGAGGCCTGGAGCACAGGGCCCCCCTTGGAGGGGAGGGGAGGGCAAGGGCAGCAGACTGGACCCTGAGTGGGTGGAAGGGTGGGGAGTTGGAGAGGGGAGGGGGGTGGGGACAAGGTCCCAAATTATCCTGACAAAGGGCTTCAGATCACCCCATCTCAGCCCTTCCCCACTCCCCGCACCCCTCCCCAGCTTAATCTCCAGGTTGTGGGAGGTGGGCCCCAATCAGGCCACACAAACAGGCCCTGCCCTTCCCGCCTTCAGATATCAGAATCCGAGCCGCCCTTAAGGAAGACAGAGGAGGAAGGGACACCCAGACTGAGAGCCCAGACAGAAGGGCTTCAGCAAGAGATCCGCAGGGAGGGATGACGGGGGAGAGGAGGGGCCGGGGAGGGCCCCCTGACAGGACTGTCCCCTCCCCATGCGGAGAGCCCGTCACCCCGTCCCCTCAGCAACTTGGTTCTTCCCGGGACCGCAGGTAGCAGCCGTCGCTCCTCAGAATATGAGTGGGGGGCTGGGACGGGTGGGAGAGAGAATGTGGGCTGGGTAGGTGGGGGTCGGGCTAGGGCTTCTTGGAACGAAAGAATGGGGACATTGTGCTACTTCTGGGGAAATTCCTAAGTCCCTTTTACAAGACTCAGTTGTCTTCCCCACGCCCCTCCCGGGAGACTCGCCCCCAGAAGGCTGCTGTGCTCAGCCAGGAGGCCAGAGGCTACAAGGGCTTGCGCAGGGGAAGGAGGAAGGAGCTGGGCTAGCCCCCCACGGCCCCTCAGGGCCCTGCTTAGGTAGCGGCAGAGGAAACCCAGGCAGGGGGAGTACTGTCCACATCCCCGGGGGCTAGGCCCTGACTCAGCACAGAGCCAGCGCCCCAGCCACGCTCCACCTGCCCTCAGGCTGTAGGAGGGGATGGACACCATCCCCGAGGGACCAGTGGGCACCTTCTTCCTCCCCAGGCCCTGACTGGTGACCCTCACCCCCACCCCGGGGCCCATGTCCCTCCAAGCTTTGGAGACTTCGTGTCAGGCAGGGACATGGGACTCTGGCTTGTCAGCACGGCCCTCTGCCCCCTCTCTCCACCGTCCAGCAGAGCTAAGGTCCAGGGAAGAGTACTGGTTACTCCCACGCCCAGAACACGCCCACGGCCAAAGACGGATTGGAAACTTCTGCCTACAAGCAGTGGAGAAAATACCTGTTGAATCCTCTCATTTTATTTTTTATTTTATTTCTTTCTATTTTTTGGCCTCGCCACACGGCATGCGGGATCTTAGCTCCCCGACCAGGGATCGAACCTGCGCCCCATGCAGTGGAAGCTCAGAGTCCTAACCACGGGACCACCAGAGAAGTCCCCTGAACCCTCTCATTTTAGAGGTGAGAATATTGAGGCCCAGAGAGGTAAACTGAGCCCCTAAGGACACACAGCAATGAACCCTGTGGAAGGGGGAGGGCTTCTGGGAGTACGGATGCAGCCTGGTGGGTGCTCACCCACCACGTCCACTGCCTTCCACCCACCACAGGGTCCCTGCCAGGCCTCGCTGGGCTCACAGAGCCTCCCAACCGGATGGAGGCATCTCCCACCACTGACTCCTCACACTGCCTGTAGAACTGTCTTTCTAAAGACAGATCTGATCACGCCACTCTGCCACTTCACACCTCCGAGGGTTCCCAGAGGCTTCTGGACAAAACCTCACCCTGCCTTCCCAGCCTCACCTCGCCACACTCCCGGTCATACCTACACCCCAGCGCGCACACGCCTCTGTGCCTTTGCAGATGCTGTTTCCTGCTTGGAAGGCCCTTTCCTTTCTTCCCCACCCGGCAAACTCCAGCTCACCCTTCAAGGTTCTTTTCAAATCTCTCTCCCTAGGCTTCTGCAACTTCCCCAGGCAGAGTTCCAGCTCCCTCCTGTGGGTTCCCTGCACATCTTAATGATCTGAGTGAACAAATGCTTGGAGAAGCTAAGTCTGGAACCATATGTTCCTTCATTTATCCTATAAGCACCAAGTGTCTGCTCTGTACCAGTGATGACGCAAAGATGAAAAGGGTTCCTCAGAGGAGAGAGACATGCAGACAAACGGGCCACCTGTGCCGGCTACTGCAGAGGCTGAGATGCAGAGGGTACGAAGGCGCGGCGGCCAGGTCCACCTCCAGGAGGGGTGAGCAGCCCAGCACGGGTGTGAGCACAGACCATGCTGCTGCTTGGCCAGCCCGAGACCAGCACACCTGGCTGGACCACGTGACTTCCACCCAGCAGGACAATGAGGTCACCAGTTCCTACACACCGGACTCCCGTTCAGAGTTTCTAGCACCCGAGCTACTATTTTTTCTTTTTTAATAAATTTATTTATTTTTGGCTGTGTTGGGTCTTCATTGCTGCACACGGGCTTTCTCTAGTTGCGGTAATCAGGGGCTGCTCATTGCGGTAGCTTCTCTTGTTGTGGAGCACAGGCTCTAGGCGCCGCAGGCTTCAGTAGTTGTGGCACATGGGCTCAGTAGTTGTGGCTCGCAGGCCCTAGAGCGCAGGCTCAGTAGTTGTGGCGCACGGGCTTAGTTGCTCTGCGGCATGTGGGATCTTCCCGGATCAGGGCTTGAACCCGTGTCCCCTGCATTGGCAGGCGGATTCTCAACCACTGCGCCACCAGGGAAGCCCACCCGAGCCACTCGATTCCTGTTCACACCTGCCCCTCGAGGGAGCTCCCACTGGGAATCCAGGGGGTCCCAGCTCCAAGAGGGTAAGAGGTGGCTCTAGATTGGGAGGACAGGGCCCGAGGCCCGTCTGGTGAAATTCTGTTGGAGGGAATTGTCCCCATTGGAACAGATGGTTTGTAATTGAACTGTGGTGTCCCTTGTGTCTCCCCACGGTGACAACGTGTATGTTGGTGGTGGTTCAGGGCCCTGAATAAAGGGCAGCCTGATCCGCTCTGAAACCCGTACACAAACGTTCACGGCAGCTTTATTCCCAAGAGCCGAAAGAAGAAACAACCCAAATACCCATCTATCGAGGATCATAAAATGTGGTCCATCCACACAGTGGAAGATTATTCAGCAAAAAAATGAACACAGTTCTAATGTACATGCTGCCACATGGATGGTCCTCGAAAACTTAATGCCAAGTGAGAGAAGCCAGACACAAAAGGCCACACAGAGTGTACGATTCCCTTTATATGAAGTGTCCGGAGCAGGCAGGTCTAGAGAGACGGTAGATTAGTGCTTGCTGGGGGCTGGGGGCTGGGGGGCAGTGAAGGGGTGATGGCTAACAGGTGAGCGGGTTCCTTAGTGGTGAGGAAAATGTTCTAAATTGAAAGTGAGGGATGCACAACTCTATGAATATACTAAAAGCTACTGAATTGTACACGTTAAATGGGTGAATTATATGGTATATGAACTATATCTCAATGAAACTGTGAGAAAAAAGCGGGGGGAGCCTGAGAAGGGGAATCAAGGTCCCAGCCCTCCTCTCGGGAGAGAGACGCCGCCTCACCAAGCCCGCATGACGTCACCCACGGACTCTGACTTGCTTTGATCTGATTCTGCGTTCACCAAATTTCCTTCTTATAATTATTTTGGTTTTCTGGGGGTAGCGGCCTGAGCAGCAGACAGTGTCTGGTCAGTGGACCGTATACTGACTGCTAAGTGAATACACTGGCACCGAGGTTTGTTAATTGGTGGGGTTTGCTAGTCAGTGTCTTATGATCTGGGCCGACAGGGACAAGTCTTTGAGAGCGGTTACCCCATGCAGCCCAGCCCACCAGCCGTCCACTCCCGGTCTCACAAGGGAGTGGACTAAGCCTGCTGTGCTCGAGAGCGACTGCTGGCCTCAGAGATCCTGAGCTGCCGGCCAAGGGCTGGGGCGGGGAGACGGTCAAGGGAGAGACCACGGTCAGCCTTCCCGTGTTCTGTCCGTGCTCACCGGCAGGGCAGGGCTGCAATAGCTACGCCACCTTGGGGGAGTGACTGAGTCAACCCCTCTGGAGCCATCGCCAGGAAAGGGGCAACAACAGTGCAACCTGACAGCCGTGACAACCAGCAGATGTTCAATAAATAAATGACAATAAATAAATAAATGACAATAAATGACATTTATGAAGGTGTCCTTCACCTGAGCACTTCCTGCTGAAACCGTATGTCAAAAGGCAGGAGACAGGTAAGGAGAGGGGAACCGAGGTCCCCACGACGGGCTGGAGGAGAGGGCACCACTGCAGCTGGGAGACGGCATATGCTAGTTATTTAAACATTCGGGGCCTAACTATCCTTGCCGGTAAGATAAGGAGACTGGATCAGTGATTCCCTGAAGATCCATGAAGACTGTAATGAGCATTTTATAAGCCACTTTTTGTTTTCTTTTGGCCACGCCGCGTGGCTTGTGGAATCTTAGTTCCCCGACCAGGGATTGCACCCCGGCCCTCGGCAGTGAGGGCCCACTGGACCGCCAGGGAATTCCCTATAAGCCACTTTTAATAATAAAAGGACAAAGTCAGTGGAAATCAGGCATTTACCACCAAAAGGCTAAACACACTTGCTAAAAGATCAACTATTTCTTTAAAAAGTCAATCCTATTTTAATCACTATTTACTATTTGTCACTGCTGTCATGGAGATATATACGTATATATCTCCATCCTTGATTGGCCAAAAAAGGTAAGAAAACTAATGATTAATAAATGCAGATTATTATGTAGTTATAATCTTTCAAAATCATTGGTTCATTAAGAAAAATGATCCAGGGACTTCCCTGGTGGTCCAGTGGTTAGGACTCTGCGTTTCCACTGCAGGGGGCACAGGCTTGATTCCTGGGGAACTAAGATCCCGAGAGCCGAGGCCAAAAATAAATAAATAAATAATCCAACTGGCCTCAAAGGACAGAAGGCTGGATCGCTGGACCAATGGTTTTCGCAATGCCATCTCCAGGTGGGGCGGGGCAGGGCCTAATTACCCGATGATATCACCGGGTACAGGTGTGCCGGTGTTGTAATCCATCCTCTCTCAGGGTTTAAACAGAGGCAATTTCACGGTGTAGATAACCTACCATCATATTTTGTATGACACCGCATCCTTCACGCCCGCCCCACGGCAAATGGGTGGACTGGAAATAAAATCACCCAGGTGGAAGAGGTCAACCTGTGACAGGTATGGACGAGATGACGGGCTGGCTGACAGCACCCAGCCAAGAAAGGCTTGGACAAGTTGCACGATACAAAACCTAACTTTAAAATGTTCACCCCCAAAGCACCACGCTGCTCTGGAGTCTGCACAAGCTTTTACTCAAGGTGATCTTGTGCATGTGATTAACCCCCTGAGCCTCTGCTTCTTCACTGAAAGAAAAAGAATCTGTCAAATCCTATGTAACGAAAGGTATGATGATGCTTATGACAACTTTCATTCACACGTTTAACTGCTTCCTATAAAAATTTTCTAGGGCTTCCCTGGTGGCGCAGTGGTTGAGAGTCCGCCTGCCGATGCAGGGGACGCGGGTTCGTGCCCCAGTCTGGGAAGATCCCACGTGCCGCGGAGCGGCTGCGCCCGTGAGCCATGGCCGCTGAGCCTGCACGTCCGGAGCCTGTGCTCCGCAACGGGAGAGGCCACAGCAGTGAGAGGCCCGCGTACCGCAAAAAAAAAAAAAAAAAAAAAATTTTCTAAAGCGGAGTTTCCTAGTATATGTCCCTTAGAACACTGGTTTCATAGAATATTAATGGTTCACGGGAAACGGTAATTCTGGAGGCAAATAAGTTTGGTACGTGCTGAGCTAACAAACCCAGTCAAACAGATGACCGCAGAGCTCAGAGACTTTCATGTGCTAATGTGTACTTCCAGGGAGTGGATGTCTATAGATCTGAAACCATATTTAACAGTGGATTCCATTCTGCCTGGAATATCTTATGGGATTTAATGGTCCATGAAAGACAGTTTGGGAAGCCGAATTTTATAACTGGGGATTAACACGGACATGAAAGCCCTGTAGCTTTCCTCAGCTTTGCTTTCCTCACCCATAAAATGAGGACATTGTGTTATCCTATAGGGTCATAAAGCTGACAGGAGATTATGCACAAAGCCTGGCACCCAGTAGGCCCCCTGCAAATGTTAGAGCTTCTCTAAAGGAAGAAAATTCAATGAGCCTGGAACCCTTTCATTTTTTTCTTCAAATTAGATGAAAAATTTTAATAACAACCACTAGAAGAAAATTTTCTGGAGCCTCTGGAATTCCCTATAAACATTGTTTTTTAACCCTCTCCAAGAGCAGCCTCACCTCTGACAGCCAGGGGACCGGCTTATTCCACTTCAGGTAGCTGCTGTTCCCCCCGCCACCTCTCGCAGAGTCTTGGTCCTGGCAGAACAGAGAAGAATGAACTTGGTGGGAATATGAGGGTGACAGCAGGATCGGGGCCCCTTGAAAGTGCCTGTGGAAGCAGAGGCTCAGGAGACCCAGCCCTGCTGTCGGAGGCTTATCGACTTACGGACACTCCCCTTTCTGGCTCACACTATATCCCTCAGGAATATACCTCCAACGTATAACCCTGAGGTGCTTCTACTTTCCTGACTTTTCTCAGTCTTCCCATATGGAAAAATTTTTTCTAATTAGACCAGGCTCTCCTGAGGGCAGGGACCTTGCCTCCCTCTCCTGTGACTCATCTGTCCTAACAAGTGGGGGCCTCCTTGGAGGAGACACCCCACCCCCTCCCTACCCTGCAGGTCCATGGGTGCAGTTTGGCCCTGGTCCGGCCTTGGAGATCCATGTCTGTTCTAGGCTCAGAGGCTCAACCTTAGGGCTCCAGGCTGAACTGGACCTCAAGTTCCCTAATCCCCACCCAGAGCAGCTTCTAGGGACCATCAGCCCAAGAAACACCATAGGGAAAATACTCCAGTACAAATCTGTCCCCCAGCTATTTGCAGGGAGGGGCCGTCTCTACCGCATCATCTCTGACTCTTAGCGGCAAGCACTGGGACTGTCACTAAAGTACCAGCCCAGTCTTCATCCCGGCAAGAGGCGAGAGGTGCTGGTCCAGCTCAGACTGCTGATGGAGGCCACATGCCTGGACGGCTCAGACTTGGGCATCTTGAACTATGCGACAAGGCTTTGGGGAAGGCACGATGGACGTCTCTACCCACAAAGCTAGGAGAGCCCATGAGGCCAGCCTGCCATCCAGGGACTCCCTCTGCTCTGCCCTCTCCTAACACAGGATGTGAAGATGCCCTTCAGGCTCTGTGGGCAGCGGAAGCCGAGGACCCATGTTAACGCGCCAGCAGGGAGGACGGGCTGACCCTGCCACGTACCTTGAGGCCCAGCCTCTGGGGACGGTAGAACTGGAGATTTGGATCCACAGCCGGAATGTTCCTGCTGGCCAGAGCCTTGGCCAATTCTCTCCAGCTGCCATACCCTGAGGAAGGGAAAGAAGAAGAAAGGAACAAGGTCAGCACGACCTGAAGACCTCATAAATCCGCGAGATTCAGGGCGTAATAACAGAGGTAATTGTGTACCTTCTATGGCTCCTGAGCCCTCGTCTTGGGGTGGGTATGAAGTGGGGTGGAGTGTAGGGGGACAGTTACAACCTCGGCCAAGGTCAACACGGCAGAGAGCGAGGGCGTGAGCTCATCTCCTGTTAGGACTCGCTGTCTTTCCCAATTCAGAGGAGGAACCAGGTCAGGTGAACCCGGAGCTTTGTCCTGCCATGTGACCACCACAGGCTGCCTGTCGAGGCCAATTTCGCCCAAAAGCCACTGGGTGCACGGTGGCGAGCTGAGCTTTCCCCTCACAACCTCCCTGCCCCCGAGCCAGGGAGCCGGTGGGGCTGACGGGGGGCCCCCCCCCTGCCCACCGTTAGTCGCTGGGCTGCTGGATGGACCCAGAGCTGGGGGCGCCAGGAGACCGTGGGCCAGGACTTGGCGTTTGCCTTTCAGAATTATAAACAGCTGGAGATATGAGATTTGAGGCCCAGCTCCTCCTGGATGCATCTAGAGGCTGTGTGTGACGGCTGACATCTGTGCCCTGAGGCCCTGGAGCCGGTCGGCTTTCACACACCTGGGAAGGTAACAGCCAAACCACGGTGAGAATGAGGGAGACGCACGTGCATTCACAGCCACGCAGAGGGGCAAGGAGTCGCCGAGGGTTTGGGGGGGAGAATCAGAGCTCAGTGGTCAGCACTGCTGTCCACTGGGGGCTGGGGCTGCCCACAGGTCAGGGGGACGCTCGGGCAGGATGGAGACTTTGTGGAACCGTAAGGCAGAATTACAGGCCACCAAGAGCTGGGAGGGGCCTTCAAGACCACCTAGTTCTCATTTCAGGTAAGGAAATGGAAGCCCAGCTGTCTGGAGTCACTTAGCAAACACAGTTGACCCCCTTGTCCACAGGGGATACACTCAAGACCCCCAGTGGATGCTTGAAACCACACGTAGTACCGAACCCCATATATACGATGTTTTTTCCTATACATACTTATGATTAAGTTTAATTTACAAATTAGGCACCGTGAGAGATTAATAATGTTAACTAAAACTCAAATAGAACAGTTATAACAATATATTGTAATAAAAGTTATGTGAATGAGTCTCTCTCAAAATATTTTATTGTACAAACTGAATGCCTCTGCCATCTTAATGGAGCACTTATCATTCACTGTGGCTGTAGCTTCTGCAGTTTGAGGTGTGACAGCAAAAACAGCAAAAATTTCTTTTCCCTTCTTCACAATTTCATGGAGAAAAGATTCGCTCTTGCCGTAGATCTTACCAACCTTAGCATACGGTTTTTTTTCTTTCTTTAAGTTTCACCTTTTCACTCAAAAGAAGCACCTTATGGCTTTCCTTTGGCAAATGTGAATTTCCAGCATCACCGCCGTTGCACCGTGGGGACAGTGTTAAGTAAAATAAGGGTCCCTTGAACACAAGCACTGCGATGCCAGGACAGTCCATCTGGTAACCAAGACAGCTACTACATGACTAACGGTGGGAGGGGCTGGAGAAAGGGGGTGACTCACTTCCTGGGCAAGAGGGAGCAGGACAGCGCGAGATTTCGTCACGCCGATCAGACCGGTACACACTTGAAAGCTTATGAATTGTTTATTTCTAGAATTTCCCATTTAGTATTTTCAGACCCTGGTTGACCCTGGGTAACAGGAACCATTGAAGGTGAAATCATGGCTCAGGTAGGACCACTGTAGTGACAAAGCTAAGGCTAGAACCCAAGAGTTCAGATAGAACCCACTGGAAAAGTGCAGAAAGCTCTCCAACAGCTTCATCAAGATGCTCCCAGGACACTGCCGTGGGCGCTGCCCGGCAGTTAGACTGGCACCACTGGCCACCGTGAGCCAAGAGATGCCTGGAAGCAGAAGCATCCTAGGACCCCCAGGCGGGCACCAGTAGAGGCACAGCCAGCCAACCAGACACAGAGGAAAGAGCACAGCCCACAGAAGGCGGACATCAGCGCTTTGCCAGAGTGTGTGTGTGTGAATACCTCCAGGAAGGTGGGTGGAATGTGGGGCGCAGCAGGGGAGCTTTTCTTACCCAGTTGCATGCTGGGTGCTCCACAGGGTTTACTCAGCACCTCGCAGGCACGATCCCATCTGGGCGAGGTCTGATTACCCCCGCTTCACAGATGGGGAAAGAGAAGCCCAGGGCTGAAGGTCACAGAGTTCGCCGTTCCAAAGCGGGCATCGGAACAGAGAGCCTGTCTGCCTCACCAGCCAGCGTTTCCTCTTCCCGCCTACATTTTCTCCTGTGGATGCTGTTTGGTGTGGACCTGGAGGAGACCCGGGGGCAGAGCGTCCGCTGGGGATCTGTGCCCCCGGGTTTCTGCGCAGACATTAACCGTCCACTCGTGTTATGTTTATCGGGACTTCCGCAGGTTTATCCTGCTGCCATCAAGGTCTCTGCTGTTTCCATGGCTGGCCAGCGGGCAGGCAGAAACAGGTCAGACTAGTTCGACGCAGAGAGATGTTCTGGGGAAGAGGATCCAGGAGCCAGTGCGGTGACGTGAGGGGGAGGGAGGGAGGGAGACAGAAAGAGAAAGAATGTTCCCAGACCCAGCCCTACCTTCCTGCCTGGTGTTCCTGCGCTAACCAGTCTAAGACACTGCTAACAAAGGAGCCCCATCCCTGCCCAGGCCCCGGGGACTGTGGGTTAGTAGCTGGAGGCTCAGGGGCCTGGGGGACAAGTGAGTCGTACCGTGGGAGGGGAGGGGAGGCGCTGCCTTGCTTCTGCCTCAGAACAACTGGGTCACCTCTTCCTTGACTTTGCTCTGTGGCTGAAAACGACCTACTTGTAGACAAGGTTGTGAGGATATAACCCTAAAAATTCAATTCGCCGGGCTTCCCTGGTGGCACAGTAGTTGAGAGTCCGCCTGCCGATGCGGGGGACACGGGTTCGTGCCCCAGTCCGGGAAGATCCCACGTGCCGCGGAGCGGCCGGGCCCGTGCGCCATGGCCGCTGAGCCTGTGCGTCCGGAGCCTGTGCTCCGCAACGGGAGAGGCCCCAACAGTGAGAGGCCTGCGTACCGCAAAAAAAAAAAAAAAAATTCAATTTGCCACATCCGAGAGAGTTCCGGCGTGTCTCCCAGGCACGTTCTTTCCCACACACTAGTTTTCAGTGCCAGCCAAATTCTTTGACTCCTGGAAAGTGAAACAGGTCACCCCAAGGTCAATGGACTCTTCCCGTGGTCTTCACTATGCCGTGTCCTTGCATTTACTGGGAAGTGACAAGGAACACTGTCTCCTGGACCAAACTTTGGAAGGGCTCCTCTGAGCACTCTTTTCGACTAGGCCGTGGTCCTTGGGCCCTGTCCTTGGCCCGCCCAGCCCAGATTTTAGGAAGAATCCTGTTAACTCTGTTTACAAAACCCTCCACCCTTGATACCTGAACCCAATCAGGTAGCCAGGATGCTGCTAGGCTGGGCTAGCAAGAACCCCCCACCCTGATGTCTCCTCCTGGCAATTCTCCATCCACTGACCCATCGCGCTGCTTGTGGGCTGTAAATCCCTGGCTGCCTTTGGAACTGAGCTCAGCTCGATACCTCGGTCTCTTTCCCACACTGTGGTAGTACTGAATCAAACCTGTCCATCACCTTTAACTTGTGCCTGGCTCTATTTCTCTTTAAAAGAGGGTAACAGGTGGCTCTGCCAGTAAACAAGGACAAATCCACAGAACGGAGGGGATGTCAGGGGTTAAACCTAACCAGGCCCTGCCCAGGTCACAGGTGCGTCTGGATGGCTTTGAAATTACTTGGAGCTGAGACAGTCAACAGCCCAGCCTTTAGCAATTCAAGGAGCAGGAAACGCCCTTGGCAGACTTCACAGTGTGGAAAAGACAAGAAGGCTTGGAGTCAGGAAGCTCTCCATGGATGGCCACCATTATAAATGGTAACCGCTTGAGCAAGTAACTGAACCTCTCTGGTCTTATCTCTCTGGCTGGTGGAGATAAGACCCCTGCCCCTGCCGTGAGGATTAAATACTGTGCGTGTCAGACACAACTAGCACCCCGTCCCCCAACAATGTCTGAGTTCAGGGTTTTGGACCTGGGCGTCAGAAGATGTGAGTCCCAGCACCTCGAGAATTTTATAAAAACCGGAAACGGCCAGTCGCCGCCTCTCTCCTCTGGGCAGAGAAGCAAGACGACCACAGGCAGCAGCGACTCAGTGGTGGGGGTAACAGACAGCACTTCCTCTCTGCTGCCGGCTGTTCTCTGCGCCCCTCCCGTCACCCACCTATCCTCCCAACCCCGTTGCTATTCACTGAGTGCATAGCAGGCATCAGGCACGGTGTGGAGCGTTTCCGCTGTGTTAACCCTGCCAGAGGCACCCTGGCCCCACTTAGCCCCCTGGGGACCAGGAGCTAAAGAATGTGCTGATTTAACCATTGACACTTGTCACCTGCCCTCGGGTAAGTGAACTCCTGCTCCTGGCCAGAGCGCCAGCTGCCAGGGCCCCTTTCTCCTGCAACAGGTGTCACATTTGTGCCAGGAGACAGACACCCCGATCTCAGGTGACAGATAAACCACCACCGTGGGCCTCACGTTCTGCCCTCACAAAGCTGGGCTATCAAATTCACCATCAGCCGGAACTCTGCCAACATCTCTCCTCTGTGCTATGTGGACTCTTCAAAGGCCTGGAGAGCATCTCTTTGGCTCTTTGGTGAAAATACAGCATAAATACAGCCCTTGGTGCTTTCCTTTTTTTATTTCAGATGATACTTTTTTTTTTAATTTATTTATTTTATTTTTGGCTGCGTTGGGTCTTCACTGCTGCACGGGCTTTTCTCTAGTTGCGGCGAGCGAGGGCTACTCTTCGTTGCAGTGCACGGGCTTCTCATTGCTGTGGCTTCTCTTGTTGCGGAGCACGGGCTCTAGGCACGTGGGCTTCAGTAGTTGTGGCACGCGGGCTCAGGAGTTGTGGCACATGGGCTCAGTAGTTGTGGCACAAGGGCTTAGTTGCTCTGCGGCATGTGGGATCTTCCCGGACCAGGGCTCGAACCTGTGTCCCCTGCATTGGCAGGCGGGTTCTTAACCACTGCGCTGCCAGGGAAGCCCCCCTTGCTGCTTTTTTTTTTTTTTTAAACTCTCACCTATATTATTTCCCTGCATCCTCACCAACTCCCTGTGAACTGTTGTCATCTTCTTTAGAGATCAGGAAACAGAGAAGTGAAGTCACACAGTGAATAAGATAATCCATGTTAAGGACTTAGTGCTTGGAACACAACAAGCAATTAACCCACTGCAGCTCATTAGTTTATGATCCGTCACAGCACTGCAGATGTGAAACTTGCATTCGTTTCTCCTGATCTCTGGTCTGATTCTCTTGCTGATATGTCACGTGGTCCAAAGGGACATTCACACAAGGGGCAAAGGCAGCCCCTGGCTGCTCAGACAGATTTTGGATAGATTGTGAAGTTTCAGCTGAGGGACTGGACATGGGGAGAGGAATCAAGAATGATTCAGGATTTCTGCCCTGGCCGTTGGAAGGCTGGAGTTGCGCTTACTGAGATGGGGAGGACGGGTGTCAGAGGAGAGGCCGGGCTGAGAGTAATGCCCAAGAGAGAAGTGGAGGCATGGTGGGGAGGGGGTGCAATGAACGTGGTGTTTCTGAAGCTCCATCTCCAGCTTGGGCAGGGCTCTGCTGGAAAGGGCTCCCACCTGCCCTAAGACGCACTTTGCAAGAGGGGAAGGCCTGCACCCTCAAGGGCTGTAGGAAGGTGGGGTTCAAGGACGAGCCAGGAGGGCTGGTCCCACAGGCTCCATAGGTGTAAAGGACCCAAAGACCTGCAGATCCTTAGCAGACGATCTGCTAAGAAGCTCAGCATCTGTAGAGAGAAAGGTGGTGAACCCCAGAGGAGCTGAGCAGAGACAGAGCCCTTGTCCCACTAGAGAACAGCAGGTTGTCCAGGGAACAGGAGGTCATGACACCCGGGCACGGCTCCACAAAGGCCAGGAACCAGCACGGAGTCCTGGGATGAAAAAGCAAGGCTCTGACCTTGGAGTGCACCCGAGAGCCAGTCATGTGGGCTCCGCAGAGCAAAGCTGCCATGGCTGGACGCCAGCAGGGCCTGGATGCCACCAGAAACCCGAGGTGGCACAGTCAGGGATGAAGCCAAGGACTGTCACCTGGGAGAGAGTCTCTAAGGCAAACCAGAATCTCTGACAGCAAAGACACGGCCTTTCCTTTCCAGCCGTGACACCCCAGAGAACGTGATGCAAGAGGAACTATTATTAATGTAACCTTAACGTTTATGTGTCGGGCATATACTTATATTTATAGTAAATGAAATATAGATGATTTTATTTAGTACAAAAACCCTATAGGAAACTAAGGCTTAGAAGATAAAAATCTCACTGAAAGTCCCAGAGATAGTAAGTGACAGAAGATGTGAACGCTATGTCCTGAATTCCATGCCTCTTAGACTTGAGAACCTGGTCCAGCTACGCCACCTCATCACCTGGTGTCAGGCACACCTTAGTCACCGGCCCATCCCTCCCCGACACCCCACAGAGTAGCTCCCCACTCCCTTTAACGCCAGTAACGCAATAACACCTCCCCATATACGCCCAATAAGAGCAAGAGGGCGCATGGAGACCCAAACACCCCCGAACAGCTGGAGAGCTGGGCAGAAGCACCTGCGAGCAGGCCTGCTGCCCTCGCCCCGGCCTCTGAGCCTCTTCCTTCTCGACACGAGGGTGAACCATGCAGCCGCGGGTCTGGAGCAGCGTGGGCCCCAAGGAGGGTCCTAAGTGTGGGTCCAGCTCTGTCTCACGCTCCCTCGTAGCACAGGTACAGGGCGGACATCGTGACAAAGAACAAAACAAACCCCACAACCTTTCAGGCCCCATGTTACTCATCCGGGTCATGACAGGACAGTCAGAGCCACAAACACAGTTCTGTCGTGGGGAATTTTGACGAAGACCCCGGATGAAATGAGATGGTTTCAGGAAAATCTAGAGGTAACAGGGTCCAGGATTTCTAAAACTGGTCCATGCCCACTGAAGAGGTGCTTTAAT